ATGAAATCTTGCCATTTGCAACGACTTGGATGGAACTAGAGGGTATTATGCTAAGCAAAATAAGTCAATCAGAGAAAGACAAGTATCATATGATCTCACTTATATGTGGAATTGAAGAAACAAGAGGAATGCTGAAAAAGAAAATGTGAAGATCATGGGCGAAGGGAGGGAAAAATGAAACAAGATGAAACCACAGAGGGAGACAAACCATAAGAGACTCTTAATCTCAGGAAACAAACTGAGGGTTGCTGGAGTGGTGGGGCGTGGGAGGGGTGGGGTGGCTGGGTGATGGACATTGGGGAGGGTATGTCCATGGTGAGTGCTGTGAATTGTGTAAGACTGATGAATTACAGACCTGTACCCCTGAAACAAATAATACATTATATGTTAATAAAAAATAAATATTTTTGAAAAAACTGGTTGGAGAGTAATTAGCACAGAAATAATTTCTAAAGGTCAGACACTGGAGAATTCTTTAATTTAGGGTGGTTGACCCTGGGATATGAGGACCATAACTTTCAAGTATTTCCCTTGAGGTGACTTCATTGAGTTAAAGATTCTCTTTCTCCTTATTAATCTTTGAATTGCTTGAATTCTGCCTCTGACCTCAAGGGAGAGAATAGAGCATCTCCATTTGGAGCTCTTAACCAAGCTTCCTGAATTCAAATCTTCTTCACGCTAACTCTCCAGCTGGGAGCAAGGATTGAGGAGTTTCCCCCAATCAGTTCTCCAGTGATAGCCTTCCTTACCAGAAAACCAACCCTAAAGGTGTGTGGAAGAGCAGCTTGAAGAGTGGCAGTGGGATTAGAAACTCTACTGGCTCTTATTGGCTATTCCAAAGGAGATCCACACAGTCACCCTCCTCCTTACAGATAGATCTAACAATCCAGTTTTCCAGAACCCAAATGCCCTTATTCAGAGCTGCTGTCTCTGGCCAGAGAGCACAGTTGGGCAAGTTTTTTTTTTTTAAATCACAGAATAGAGAGGCAATTGAAACAGGTTGAGACAAGCATTCAACATGAGCCTGGTTGTTAGTACATAACTTGGGTCTCTGAGGAGGCCTCCTGAGGCTGTGCACGCTCTTGCCTATTGCCCATCAGAGGACAAGCTGAGAAATGGCAACCAATGTGGCATTTCAGAAGTGTTAGAATTCTGCTCAGTGGTCAGACTGGCTGTCAGTTCACCTGTTCTTCCAAAGCAGCTCCATGTTCCTTCAGGATCACGATCATCCATATGCCACAGGCCTGGGTACAGGTGGAGTTAAGGCTCTCCAGACCATCCAGGGTTTCCTCCAGGAACATTAGAATTTCTTCAACTGGGATGAGTTTACTGACAATCTGAGAATGTATGAAGAAAGATTCATGTTATCAACCACCTCACTACATACAACATGCTGCTACTGTTTTAGGATATCGGAAACCATTGGAATTTCCAAACAGCTAACCCATGACTAGGGTATAGAAATGACAGAAAATACAAAAAGAGACATAGACATTACCCTGAAACTCTAGGCAGACTTTTCCTGGGGTTGCTCTTTTATTATTTTATATTTATTGAATCCCAAGCCTGCTGAAGAAATTTCTTCTCCAAACTTCAAAGTTATAGTGTACCCCACAAGGGAAAAGTAATGTGTATGGTTTTATATGATTTTATGATATAAATTACTCTCACATACGTTTCATATATCACAGAAATATGTCATGTGTCTTCCAAAGAAAAGCTAAGGCTTGAGAATGTAGGAAAATCAATCACCATGTACTAAGTGCCATGTTCAATACTGGATGTATCACGATATCCATGTAAGTATGAATTATTATGAGTTCTGTCTTTTGCACTTCCATGTTTCAAAATTAAGAGTAGTCAACAAAAGTTCTAGAAAATAAAAACTTTGCAATTTTGGTCTCTAAGTACAAGAACCATACAAATGGGTGATAGCAGTGTGTGTGTGTGTGTGTGTGTGTGTGCTAATGGAGGGCTTTGGAGTCTATCAGATGATGCTGTGTGCACTTGCTTGAAGCCCATTCTCCTCATTTCAAAAAAAAAAATGCATAACCTACCTCTCAGAGTTGTTCTGAGGATTGGTCAATGAATTCATTCAAACAGGCAGTTTGAATGAATTCCAGGGATATTGTCTGGGGCTTTAATCAAGCAAGATGGTCATGATTATGAGTTTGTAGGTATGAAAACATTCCTATTCACAACTGACTTCCCTCTGCATTAAGTGGCCCGATGACTGATATTTGGTAGAACTGTTCTTGAAAGGAAATTAATCCCTTTTCATTAGCAGGTGCATGTCTCAACCAGTTTGAGTCATTTTGATTCCAAGATCAAAGGACTAGACTGCCACGTCTGTTCTATGTAACACCAAATGCTTGCCTGGGCTCCATACTCAGTGGTTACCTGTGTTTTTTTTCTTCTCACATTGGGATGGATGATGATTTAGGAAGAAAGGAAGGAGGGGGGCTCATGTTTCTGAGCACCTACTATGTATCAGACACTTTCTTAGGCATTTGACATATGTTCCCTCTGTGCCCCCCAACTGGCTTCTCTCCCTTATTCTGGTCACCTTCTTGTCATCTCTGCTGCTGCCACCTTAGTCCAAGCCACCTAATCTCACACCTGGATTCTTGAAGTTTCCTCCAAACTGATTTTTTTTTCATTAATTTCACTCTTGCTGGCCTGTATCATAGTCTAAACACAGCAGCTAGATGACACTTTGGAAATATAAATCTGATCATATTCCTTCTTGCAGACACACCACGAGCTTAGAAGGGGTTTTTACAAATTAGGAAGAGACACCTTGTCCTCAAGACAGTTCACTTCTCTCTGTAAGTATATGGTCATAATGACTGAGGGTAGGCGTTTTGTCTTTTTCTATTCTTAGAGCCTAGAACAATATCTAGCATATGGTAGGTGCATAGGGCATAGTAGGTGAATGAATAAATGATTAAATAAATGAATGAATTCATTGACCAATCCTCAGAACAACTCTGAGAGGTAGGTTATGCATTTTTTTTTTTTTTGAAATGAGGAGAATGGGCTTTCAAGCAAGTGCACACAGCATCATCTGATAGACTCCAAAGCCCTTGTACCTTCTACTCCACCACACTGCCTCCCTCATCCTGAAGAGGGATGCTTGGTTCATAAGATTTCCCAGAGTATGAAATGATCAGTAGCAGGTGTTGACTGGGCACATGTACCCAGGGTTAACACATGATAGGACAAAGAATGGCTAGACTGTTGCTCTCCTTGGTAGTGGGGCATACACAGTTTACTCATTTGGAAATCAACCCAGAATCATCTTTACATCCCTCGGCCAGTCCTCCGTATCTATTACCTTTGCTATTTTAGAAGAAATGTTGATCTGGACCTGCACATTGTCACATTGCAACCCTTCCTGCAGACTCTGCAGTCTTTCCACCTCCAGGTGAGTGCCTAAAATCCACAAGGGGAGACAGATACAAGAGTTCAAAGACCTGATAGGGGTTAAAGAGGTTGGCTATACTCTGACATGACCCTAATTCAGCTGCTGGATGCTTTTAACAAATGCACGGACCCCTGTCTGATGAGAGGGTGGGCGTAAGAGCAAACACATATTGAGTAGTTTCTGCATGCTGGCCCGGGGCTAAATCCTCTGCATACAATGATCTCATTCATTACTCATCAATGTCATCTGAAGTAGATGCTCCTGATTTTGCAGACAAGAAAGCTGAGACAGAGAGCTATAAAGCCATGTGGCCACAGTTATCCAGAGACTAAAAATAGGAGAGACAGAATTTGAGCCCTGGTCTGCCTGGCACCCATGCCTAAGCTCTCACTATTCTGCCACACTGCTGTCTCTGTTGGAGTTCCCTTTCGTCGTAAGCCACTTCTGGAAAAATGGAAATGGAAAGCTAACTATTGCAATAGGAACATCAGCAACTTTGCAACTGATTGTAGAAACCAATTAATAAACTCAGACCTAAACAGTAACCATTTTCTGTTTGCTGTTTGAATGTAGAGTAATTGTGGAAACTAACACCTGAACCCTTCTATGGAAGGCAGCCCAGCCCAGTAGAACACACAGACCTGGGCTCACAGCCCAGCTCTACTACTTTCTGGAGCTGGTAAATTTCTTAACTTCAGCGCTCTCATCTCAAAACTGAGTTTTAAATGGGTATTTAATTTAGCATCACACTAGTTACTTGTATTCAGCTGGTGTTTAATAATCATATTCTTTCTCTCTGTCATGCTATTTGATCTATCAAGGAAAAAAGTTAAAACAAATAATGAAGTAAGGGATTTTTTATTTTTTTTAAAGATTTTTATTTATTTATTTGATAGAGACACAGCGAGAGAGGGAACACAAGCAGAGGTAGTGGGAGAGGGAGAAGCAGGCTTCCCACTGAGCAGGGAGACTGATGCGGGGCTCAGTCTCAGGACCCTGGGATCATGACCTGAGCTGAAGGCGGACACTTAACGACTGAGCCCCCGAGGCGCCCCTGGGATTTCTTATTAACAAAGAGTATTTGAGAACCTGAATTTTGTATGTTTCAGGAAAATAAAATACACTAAAGGAAGAATAGGTAGAACAATAATAGGATTGAAATTCCTCTCTTCCTATGAGTTTCCTCTCTGACACATTTCTTCTTTTACTGGGATGACCCCTTAGTTCTTACTTCCTTAACTCTTTTTTTATTTTCTGGCTTGGTACAAGATAATGAATTATTTTCCCATATCCCAAAGGACTTTCATACCTATCTTGACTCTGCTAAATAGTTTTTTTTTTTTTTCTTTTTGACCAACTAACCAACCGCTCCCTTCCACCAACCAAATCCCACCTTTTGGTTTTAATATACTTTCCTTATGTGAATTTTAGAATTGTAATTATCTCTGTGCCTCCAGCATCAGAGAAGTGCCTGACACATGGGAAGAACTTAATAAGCATTTTCTGAATACCTGAAAGAAAGAGGAGTGGAACACAGGTGTGAGATGGCACTAAACCTAGACCAGTGTTCCTGGCCTGCCAGGGCTGCACAGAAATGCGCATGCGCAGTGCAGGGCCATTCTCCGGGAAGCACCTGCTGATTTAAACTGGACCCAAGGCCCTGATTTGTTGGTTTCAGCCTGAGACTAGGTTTTAAAATTCCTTACATTTCCTGATATTGCCACTCCACATATACTTGGACGGTAGACAGAGGTCTTCTTCTGGAAGCCGGAAAAACCTCCACAAAGTTGTCTCTCTTAGAGAACTTTGAAAATCACTTAGCATCATAATAATAGTACAGTTTCCTCCTGAAGAAATCCACGTGATAGAGGAGGCATTGTTAATACTCCCAAGTGCCCAGTGATTTAAATCAAAACATTTTTACCTACCTCAATGGACCTTTATGATGCTTTGGTGTTATTATCTTTATTTTTAAAAATAGAAAAACAGAGCCATTGGGGAAAAAAGATCCAAAAGAGAGACAAATTCTGTGACATAATGAAGGCATTAGAACGCAGAAATGGCTGAACTGGGGAGAGAGAGAGAGACAAGGAAAAACCAAGAACAAGAGAAAACAGGTATCTTCTCTTCATTTGTGGGTTTCTCATCTTTCCCTCACCTTTTATACAGAACAGACCAATAGTGGAGCTGGCAGCCGCTTGACGGATGGTGGGCAGGGTGTCACAGGAGTGAGGAGCCAGGAGGCCGAGGAGTGAGCCAATTTTAAAGTTCTCTGGTGCCTGCAGGATAAAGGAGACCCCCAAAGTGATGGGGTGGCTTGACAACATCCCAGGATAGTCCCAACAACACTGGATGTGAAGTCCCTTGTTTTCCCCCTAAAGGTCCTTAGAATGAAATTGAATCTTGAACCTTCCCTTTAAGGGCAGTGGAAAAGTGAGCTAGGGAGCATGCAAAGGCAACCAAATAGTTTAATCCTAGTGTGCTTGCCACACCCTGGGGTTCTGAGATACCTCTTAGGTGGTTTTCTGGGAAGCACTCCATTCTGGGACTGGAGCTCCATCATGCAGGGGCTGTGGATTCCAGAGGCCTCCAAGATCCCTTTTGTTAGCAAGCAGTGAAATCTATTCATTCCAGGGGATTACTTACCTCAATATCATTTGTCAGCACTTTTGCGGTGATCTGGAAGGCTCTTTCTCTTTCCCAATCTTTTTGTGAAACAAGCCACATTCGGAGAAGCTGTTGGTCAAAGAATAAATGTTCTTTCCTTAGTACTCCTCATATTCTCTCATTCCCATTCTCTGGCTCTTGCTCTTTCTCTGTCTCTTATAACAGGGTGCTCACCTCCCACAAATAATTCTTAAGTGGACTGGCCCTATGTGATGGGTTAAATGGGTCAGGCTGCACATCTCCCTGTGAAGAGTATGAGGTAGAGTCTGGAGTGTTGCCCTGCAGCACAAATGAGGGAATGTGGGAATCAGTTTGAGCAATGGCCCGACTCACATTGAATATTTCTTGGCAGTCCTCTGCTTTCACATTATCCCACATCATGGTCTTCAGCAGCCTTCCTAGAGCATCCATGGATCGTTCGTAGAGAAACTGAAATCCAATGTGAGCATGAGCGTCAGGCTGAGGCAGGAGGGTAGAGTCCCACCGTAGCTCTTGATTCTACTCAGGCCTCACCCCCACATACATTAATGTGCTCCTTGTCCTTGTCTGTCTCGCCTCCATCTTTGAGTTTTTCCAGAGGTGGCAGGGGAAGCAGCCTGCGAATATTCTCTTCAAGAATATTTAGGTGGTCATTTAGTGAGAGCTGAGGTTTCAGTTTACTGAAATGAGAACCATGTGGAGGGATGGGTATTATGAGGACAAGTAAAACATAGCTCAGAAGAGTTCCCAAGAACGGCCAACCACATCTGAGGGGGTCAGAAATGCTTGCTGACATGTTGGAATGTTGAGGGAGATGGTGACAGAAGTAGGGAGAGGTTGGGGACATAGAATCAGATGGTATTGGTGTGCACAGTCAACATGTCTCATTTCTGATTTATTAGAGTGATAAACAAATCATCACTAGCTTTGTGTTACTTAGCCCTTTATTATAGGTTCTGTGATAACATTAACCTACTTGTTTTTTCTAGTGCTAATGGGTTTTGTGGGGAGGGGGTGTGGGGGGAAGATTCTAAGTTTGGAGCTGTTTTATCAATTTCATATGTCTTCTCATGCTATTAAGTAGTGTTACACATACTGAATGTACTTATAGTAAAGCGGCTGGAATCTTCCTTCCCCTCTCCCTCCTTCCTTCCTTCCCTCCCTCTCTTCCTTCCTTCTTTCCTTCCTTCCTTCCTTCCTTCCTTCCTTCCTCCCCTTATTTCTTCCAGCCATTTACTATAAGCATCATGAAGATATGAACAAACCTAGACATAACTTGGAAAAATGTTCAATAAACATGAAAATCCCCATTTATTATTTAATAAATATAAATATTATTTAATAAATGTAAATCAAGACAATACACTACTGCTTGTCAGCTATCATATTAGCAAAGAAATTAAAAATGATGACATGGTCAGGGCAGGGGGAAATTGGTTCTCCCATAGGGGAGTAAAAGTCAGTACCAGCTGAGACAGGTCTATTGAAAGTGTTAAATATGTTGATATAAACCAAACAGTCTTTTCATCTGGCTGACTTAAAAAAAAATCAACTTATTGAGGTATAATTTATGCACAACAAGCTGCATCCATTTAAACTGTGCAATTAAATGAGTTTCACACCCATGAAACCGCCACTATAATCAATATAGAACATCCAGATTTTTCCTTATGCCCCTTTGCGGCTCATCTCTTCCTTCACACTGGCCCCAGGCAAACGCTAATTGGTTTTCAGTCATTAGAGATCAGTTTGCAAGTTCTATACGTGTTCTGTCCAAATGAGGGTAGCCACCAGCAACATGTAGCTATCCAGCACCTGAGTGTGGCTAGTCTGAATTAAGACATGCTGTAATTATAAAATACACTGGATTTTGGAGATTTAGTATGAAAAATCATGTAAATTATCTCATCACCTTTTTAAATATCAAATACATGTTGAAATGATAATATACTGAATATATTGGATTAAGCAAAATAATTATTAAAATTACTTTGTTTCTTTTTTTACTCTTTTAAAAGTGACTACTAGAAAATTTTAAATTACATATGTGACTTGCATTCTAGTTCTACTTGACAACACTGTCTTAGAGCCTAGTTCATTCTTAACTCATCTTCAAGATTTATTTATTTGAGCTTTCTTCAAACTTCACTTATCTTTGTAAACATGGCAACCTGTGCCTTCCGTTATGTTGGTTCTTACTACATTTTGGAGAAATTAGGTGGGTATGTTTTGCATCTATTTTACCCAGTAGGCAAGGCCATATTTTGCTCAGGGCAAGGCCATATTTTGTTAATGATTATCCTTTTTAAATCTATCTCCATGCCTGATACATGGATGACACTGAATAATATTTATTGAACCAAATTGTCAGCTTTAATAATTAAAGTTCAGAGAGCACTTTTCACACAAAGATGTTCACCAAAATATTATTTATAGTTTTAAAAACTGACAAATATAGCAAGAGGAGGTTGGTTAAGTAATATGAGACATATCTATACAATAAGTTATTAAGCAGTTATTGAAAATGCTGTTTCTTACCTCAATATAATAAAGGCCATATATGAAAAGCCTACAGCTAATATATCAATGGTGAAAGACTGTACATTTTTCCTCTAAGATTTAGAGGAAAATCTAAGCTCAGGAGCAAGATAAGGATGCCTGCTTTTGCCACTTTTATTCAACATAATACTGTAAGTCCTAGTCAGAGCTATTAGGCAAGAAGAAGAAATAAAAGCCATCTAAATTGGAAAGGAAGAAGTAAACTATCTCCATTTGCAGATGACATGATCTTATACATAGAAAACCCTACAGTTCACAAAAAAATTATTAGAATAAACAAATTAAACAATGTTGTAGAATACAAAATGAGCACACACAAATCAGTTGTTTCTATACATTAACAATGAACAATCAAAAAGGAAATTAACAATTCCACTTATAATAGCATCAAAAAGAATAAAATACTTTATTTAACCAAGGAAGCAAAAGACTTGTACACTGAAAACCATGAAACATTGTTAAAGGAAATTAAAGAAGATACAAATAAATGGAAAAACATCCCACGTTCATGGATTTGAGGACTTACTATTGTTAAGATACCCATATTACCCAAAGCAGTTTATAGATTTAATGCAATCCCCAAAAAATCCCAATGGCAGTTTTTGTAGAAATAGAAAAATCCATCCTAAAATTCATATGAAATCTCAAGGGATCCCAAATAGCCAAAATCATCTTGAAAAAGGACATGGTTAGTTTCCATTCAGGTCATGATCTCAGGGTCCTGGGATTCAGCCCCATGTGGGGCTCCGAGCTCAGCGGGGAGTCTGCTTGAGATTCTCTCTCTCTCTCCCTCTGCCCCTCCCCCTGCTCGTGCACTCTCTCTCTCTAAGATAAATAAATAAATCTTAAAAAAGAAACCAGAAAAAAACAAGTGTTGGCAAAAATATGGAAAAATTAGAACACTTATGCCGTGATCATAGGAATGTAAAATGGTATCACTGCTATAAAAAGAAGTATGGTAATACCTCAAAAAATTAAAAATAATAGAATTATCATATGATCCAACAATCCTACTTTTGGGTATATACTCAAAAGAATTGAAAGCAAGGTCTAGAAGAGATATTCATGGACCCGTGTTCATTAGCAGCATTATTCACAGCAGTCAAAATATGAACACAACCCAAGCATCCATTGGATGAATGGATTAACAAAATATAGTGTATACACTATATGGAATATTATTCAGCCTTAAAAAGAAATGAAATTTTGACACATGTTGTCACATGGATGGACATCATTCTAGTGAAATAAGCAAGACACAAAAAGAAATACTGCATGATTCCATTTATATTAGGTAACTGAAGTATGTAATTCATAAACACAGAAGGTAGAATGGTGGTTGCCAGCACTGGTGGGAGGAGGGAATGGGGAGTTTGTTGTTTAATGCGTATAGAGCTTCAGTTGTGCAAGATGGGATGAATTCTTGAGGTTGATAGCATAACAATACAATTGTACTTAACACTACTGAAATATACACTTAAAAATGGTTAAGATGATATGTTTTATGGGTATTTTACCACAATGAAAATATTTCTTTTAAAACAATGAAGAAAGAACAATGTTGGTGAAGAATTGGTAATAATGGGGGAATATGTAAGGAGAAGTAAGGAAAAAATAGGATGCACAGCCATATGTAGAGTAGGTTCTCAGCTCTGTACTTAACATGAAGAATTAGGTATAAAAACTTGAAGGACGTATACCAAAATGTTGAAAATAAGGGGTGATTTTTATTATTTTTTAAAAAGTTTTTATAGTTTCCAAGTTTTAACTATGAATTTATATTTCTTTTACTGCAGGGGGAAAATATTATTTTAAAAATTTGGTTAAAATCATTTCCTTCTGCAGGTTTATTGCTACTAACCAACTAAAATATGATTAGGGCTTTCATAAGTTTTTAATGGGAATATTAAAATTTGCCAAGGTCTAGGAAGAGAAATTTCCTTCTGCACAGAAACTTCCATCCTCCTGTATCAATAAATCTGACTCCTCTGAGTAGCTCTTTATCCCTGTCAGTCATCGAAGGGTCGGCCTCTCAGTCAGTTCTGTAAGTTTGAAAAGAGGGAAAAGCCCCTATTTGAGAAAGAAAAAAAAAAAAAACCCATTGATGAGCTGTGTTCAATTTGGGGGAGGGTACACTGGAGTATCCACTGATTGATAAGTCAGTTGATCAGAAGGAGGATCTTGGGGAGGAAATATTTTTTTAAATGAGAGCAAGAAAACTTTTTTACCTGAGGTATCTGATGGCGATTAAGGCTTTCCACCGAACAGGGCTAGCTAGAGAGTCCAGGGGCTCATCCCTGATGAATTTCTGCAACACAAAGGGAGGAAAAATTCTAGAAACGATTTGGGGGAGTTTCCAGATGCAGCTGCAGCCCCATTGGACTGTTGGGTGCCCTTTGTCCATATAATGGCAGAGATCTGTTACCTGGGACTAGTGCATTGTACCCATTTAAAAAAAAAACAGCTCTGACTTTCAGTAACAGACTTTTCAAGATCTTGCTCATGTCCTCTCTGCACACTTACCAGCATGTAACCCAGCAGCACCTCCTTGTAGGTGAACTTGAATCCCTTATCCTCAGCATCGTGGACAGCAATACCAATCTCAGTGATAGTTCTTGTGAAACTCATTTGCAGATCCATGTCCTAAAGCAAAATGATTCACAGTGCAGTCCAAAGTCTTGGGTTCCATACCTGGTTCTATAAACCCAGTTCTTGACTTAGGGTTGAACTATGTGCCCAGACAGAAATGAGAATTGCTGCTTCTTTTGCTATCTCTACCTCAGTCCGGGGTCAAAGTTGCAGGGAAGTTAAAAACCAAGGTCAAATTCTACTCCCCCCACCCAACCCCTGTCCCCCATAGACTGAGGTTCTATACAGCAGTGGCTTTCAAACTTTTTGGACCATAAACCACACAAATTTTAGGAAACAGTTTACATGCACTATATATAGATATAACATTATATATATATAATAAGTGAAATGAAAGTTTTATGATACTTCTTATTGCCAAATGCAATGTACTCTTCTATTTCTCTTTTATTTCATTACAAAAATTTGCTGGTTGTGATTTATTAGATCTATTAGACTAATTTCATGGTCTTCTGGTGGGTCACAGCACGTAGTTCTAAGAACACTGCTCTAGGTTACAGTATAACTCCCAAGCCACCTGGAACCAAATATATCTCTCTGTTCTGTCCTGATTAGTCTCAGGGATCCTGGTTTCAGGATCGGATTGATTAGTTGTATATTGGGATCTTTTCCTCTGGAATCAAACCAAGAGGACATCTATGCCTACTGCATTTCCAGGGAGCATGCTATGTATTGAAATATATCAAATATATTGCATACCTTGCTCATCACAGACATGCCCAGAACCTGCAAAACCAAAGGCAAAAGCAGATACTAGAGCAGCAGTTAAGAGTTCCCTCCACCAGGGAAAAGACCCACCCACCAACCTGCAAACAACAGCTAAGCAGGACACTGAGTCTTGCTAAAGGGCGGGGGCTGTTCACTTCTTCCCCCATTTCCAAAATGAGACCCTGTACATTGGCAGACTTTTTCCCCAGGTGAGTCTAATCTACAGAAAGCAGCATAAAGAAATCAAGCCTTTGGGTTTCAAGCCTCATGATTTAAAGAGGTTCTACCAGACTTTGATAAGAATAAGTGTAGAGGCTCTTGGCAGAAAGAGCAGTGAAAAGCTATAAAATGAAAGTTAATGGGGCAGCTGACTTTGGAACTGAGATATAGTCAGTTCTGCTATGATGCTTGCCTTGAAAAATGCAAATTTGTTTCAGTGAAATTGATATGTGAGTAAATACTTCTAGTACATTCTGAATTTTGTGTTTGCTTATGCACAGTCTTGTCCATGACAGCAAAAGGTGAGCTAGCTGAACTGACCCATGTAGGAATACTCACACGAACACCTCAAACATGCCAACTGGTTCAGTTTACCATGGTATGAGCTGTTTCCCATTCAAATCTGCCATTCTAGCTGTCTGTCTGATTTCAGATGACCTTTCTTCCTTATCACCATTTCACAATCAACTCGTAACTTTCCCAAGTGAATTCAGGTGTTTTTCAAGAAAAAATGCCATATTTTTTTGTAGTATTTATGTACTTCTTAGATGGATTTTAAAATTAGATTCCAGGGGCACCTGGGTGGCTCAGGTCATGATCCCAGGGTCCTGGGATCAAGCCCTGCGATGGGCTCCCTGCTCCACGGGGAGACTGCTTCTCCCTCTCCACCCCCACCCCCCTGCTTGTGCTCTCTCTCGCTATCTCTCTCTCAAATAAATAAATAAAATCTTAAAAAAATAAAATTAGATTCCTATTTTTTATATGTCCTTAATGGGGTTTTTGAACGTTGTGCCCCTCCCCCATTTCTCCGTAATCTGTGTGCTTTTTCTTGTACTATCTTGTGCATATGTTGTGCTACAGAAGAATTGACTGTACCTTGAAAGTGTACAGTCATCCTTATCTAAGACATCTTTATCTCCTTTCCTCTTGTATTTTTATCATAATTTTCCTCAATGATTAACTAAAAATTAATATAACATGAACCATCTTTTTCTCAATTATGTTTTTGGTTTTCATCATTGCTTATCAAATTTTGGGTACATCAGAATCACCTTTTGAGGAGCATGTTAAAAATACAGATTCAGAGATCCATCCCTGAAGACTGTGATTCATTAAGGATCTCTATTTTTAACAGGGCTCCAGGTAGTTCTCATGCAACCAAAGTGTGAGGATCACTGCCCTATTCCCTTCCACTGGCATACACTTACATCTGTGATATCACGAGTTCTCTATGATTCCATTCTTATCACATACACCCATGAATAAATTTCAAGAACAGATTTACCAAACAGGTGGTGTGTGGAGAACACAGAAGCGGAGATAAGGGAGCATAAGGTACAAGCCCTAACATCAAGGTGCTGACAATCTAATGTGGGAGCAGATGTGCATGTAATCAGTAAAAGCTTCTGAAACCTGGCTATGGATAAGAATCACTTCTAAACCTCTTAAAAATACAGATGTCAGATTCCAACCCAGACCTACTGAATCAATCTCCCTGAAAAATGGCTCTGGGAAGCTGTACTTCAAACTTGATTCCAAGGTGATTTTTAGGTAGGTAACCTGGTACTTGTCAGCAAAATGGCCAAATTGACAATATATCTAAAGCACTTTATTAAAGATATATAAAGTACTATAGGGGACAGAAATGATCAGATGAATTCCAACTCAGTTGTGGGGTTCTGAGGCAGGAATATTCCTGGCATATTTGAGGAACATCAAGGACAGGAAGGGTGACCGGTATGAATGTGTGTGTTGGGGAGTGTGTGAAATGGTACAGCATGAGGTAGATTGAGTAGGTTGATTAATAATGTATTTTTATTCATTTAAAAATACATGTATTGCACTTATTATTCATGAGGCACTATTTTAGGTGGTTTATCTATACCATGTAAAAGGTTAAACTACCATTAATAACACTTCAGAGACTATAACAGGGAAGTAATGAACCAGCTGCTCTAAAGTAGTACTGGAGTAATTATTTGAAGTTCAAACTTGGGGGAGACTGCTATAGGTACTTGGTCTAGGAAGGTATCATAGGCCATGAACTACCCAAAGCCTTAGACAAGAAACAAATTGCCTGGCCCTGTTTCATAATGCATTTTTCTGTTCTTTTATGTTCTCATCTTCTAAACATACCAGATGTTATCTTGCCTTTTGTCTGTATCCTTTGAGCATGAATATTCCCAAGAGGTGAGCCCCTCCAAGATTTAGGAACCCCAGCCCGGAAATCGAGGCACCCTGTGCTGGCCGTTACCTGAGAGCACTGGCCATAAAGAAACAGGACTTGGGAAACAATGTCTTGATCAAGCCTGGTGAGGAGTTGACCCTTGGGAGCATGGAGGGCCACGGCTCCATAGATTACCATGACATCAGTCTTGGTCAGGCTCTTTTTCCCAGAAAAAATACCCTGAAAGAGAGACATGAAAACTATGACTGAAGGTGTTTCCTTTCCTCCATGTTGCTTCCTAGTCCTACGGACCACGACAGGGATTAAGAAATGGGACTGAGATGATGAAAATTAGTCTAAAACTGATACTCTTGCTTGGTCAAATTTAAACACCTGAGACTGTATTGTGGATCTATTGGGCTTTAAGAGAGGTCCCTGTGAGAAAGCTTGGGTTAATTTTTATTTATTAAATCCCTTTCCTTCAGGGAAAGCAGAGTGTACACGGTGGAAACTGGCCATGAGACCTGAGCAGCTGGTAGAGGAACAAAACTAGGCACACAGAGAACTCCTTAGGACCTTCCAGATCAGCATTAGTGACAGAAACTGGAGTAGACCTATTAGACAGCTGGTCATTCTACAGGGTCTGGGCTTGGGCAGTTCTCACCTGTAATAAAGACCTGGGGACAGGAACAAGTATGATATGGAAAAGGATGTTTACTGAAGGAACCAGTGTCGTTTGCCCTCGCTCTGACCAAAGCTTTGGGAGAGAAGGTTATTCTTTTTACCTTACATCGATTCATGAAAAATTTTTCCCGATCTTGGAATGTTTTAAGAACTTTTAAAACAGTATCCAAGTGGCTCTCAGCACAGTATCCTAAAATAGATGTTATTCCCTAAAGTCAGAAAAGATAGGAGTTTTGAGTTTAACCATTCACTTATTCAACAAATATTTAGGAGCACCTGTTATATGTCAGGCACTCTTCTAGGTGCTGGGGACACAACAGTGAACAAAACACACCAAACTTCCCATCCTTGTGGTGCGCACAATCAGGGGAAGTGACAGGGAAGTGACATTAAATAAACACATAAATTCAGTAAACATGTAAATATATAGTATTTCAAGGGTGACACATACTATGGAGATAAGGAAAACAAGGAAAGAGAATAGCTGCTGCAGGTTAGGGGGAGTTCTCAATTTACATAGGGCAGCTAGAGAAGGCTTTATAAACAGGGTGACATTGAGCAGTGTTCTGAAATAAATGAGGGAGCAAGTCAGTGGACTGTGTGGGAAGGAGAGTTCAAACAGGTTGGGGAAAATGGTGTTAGAAATAATGCCAAAGCAATAAGATAACAGAACATCTGACAAGGAGAAAATAAATAACATAATAAAAAAAGGTTTCAAAAGTTCTGTAAGTATAGTGGTTTCTGAACGTTTAATATGGAAGAAAGGATCCTCTAAACATCTCAAAATTTCTGAGGAGAATGTATAACAAAATACACTACAATTATTTTTTTATACTAAGTGGTCTTTATTAGCCTGGGGAGTTTTTCTTTTCTTTTTTCTTTTTTAAATGCACACACACTATCCACATTCACATACATTCTGCAGCCTAGTTAGGGTAAGGAATAGGCAAAATTGCTTTGAAAAAGCTCTCCAGGTTATGCTTATGTTTTCTCTAGGTTGAAAATCAATGGTATATAAGGTTACTTTCAGCTTGTAAATTCAATGATTTTTAAGTTTATGATCATACCCTTAAGTTAAAAAGTCAAGGTCAAAATATACTAAAAATACTTTTATTAAGGATAATTGAAATTCATTTTTCAACATTTTTACAAACCCAGTTAAATAAATGAAACATTGATCCTGGGATGCTGGTTCAATATTCACAAATCAATTAACATAATACACCACATCAACAAAAGGATAAAAACCACATAATCATTTCGATAGATGCAGAAAAAGCATTTGACAAAGTACAACATCCATTCATGATAAAAGCCCTCAACAAAGTACATTTAGAAGGAACATACCTCAACATAGTAAGACCATATATGAAAAACCCACAGCTAACATGATACTCAATGGTGAAAAACTGAGAGCTTTTGCCCTAAGATCAGGAACCAGACAAGGATGTCCACTCTCACCACTTTTATTCAACATAGTACTGGAAGTCCTAGCCACAACAATCAGACAAGAAAAAGAAATAAAATGCATACAAACTGATAAGGAAGAAGTGAAACTTTCACTATTTGCAGATATACTATGCATAGAAAATCCTAAAGATTACCAAAAAACTAGTAGAACTGATAAATGCATTCAGTAAGGTCACAGGACACAAAATTGGTATACAGAAATCTGTTGCATTTTTATACACTAATAATGAAATAGCAGAAAAAGAAATTAAGAAAACAATCCCATTTATAATTGCACCAAAATAATAAAATACCTAGGAATAAACTTAACTAAGGAGGTGAAAGACCTGTACTCTGAAAACTATAAAACATTGATGAAAGAAATTGAAGATGACACAACTGGGAAGTTATTCCATGCTCATGGATTGGAAGAACAAATATTGTTAAAGTGTCCATACTACCCAAAGCAATCTACAGACTTAATGAAACCCCTATCAAAACACCAACAGCATTTTTCACAGAACTAGAACCAATACTTTTAAAATTTGTATGGAACCACAAAATACCCTGAATAGCAAAAGCAATCTTGAAAAAGAAGAATAAAACTGGAGGTTTCACAATCCCAGATTTCAAGATATACTACAAAGCTGTAATATTCGAAAAGTATAGTGTTGGCACAAACATAGACAAATAGATCAATAGAACAGAATAGAGAGCCCAGAAATAAATCCATGATTATGTGGTCAATTAATCTTTTGACAAAGGAGGCGAGAATGGTGCTGGGTTGAAGATTATTTGACCATAGAGTTGAGGGTCCATATCTAGGCTCTCTGTTCTGTTCCATTGGTCTATATGTCTGTTTTTGTGCCAGTACCATGCTGTCTTGGTGATCACTGCTTTGTATGGTGACTAACATAACATAATTAAATTAAATTAAATTAAAAAAAAAGAATGGTGCTGGGAAAACTAGACAGCTACATATAAAAGAATGAAACTGGACCACTTTCTTACACCATACACAAAAATAACCCAAAATGCATTAAGGACTTAAATGTGGGACTTGAAACTATAAAAATCGTAGAAAAGAGCAAAGGCAGTAATTTCTTGGACATTGGCCATAGCAACATTTTTTATACATATGTCTCCTGAGGCAAGGGAAACAAATGCAAAAATAAACTATTAGGACTACATCAAAATAAAAAGCTTCTGCACAGCAAAGGAAACAATCAATAAAACTAAAAGACAACCTACAGAATGGGAGAAGATATTAGCAAATGACATAACTGATAAAGGGTGAGTTTCCAAAATATATAAGGAACTTACAGAACTCAACACCCAAAAAACAGATATCCAATTAAAAATGGGCAAAAAAAAAAAAAAAAAGAATGTATGAAACACACACACACAAAAAAAATGGGCAAAAGACATGAACAGACATTTCTCCAAAGGAGACATACAGATGGCCAACAGACACATCAAAAGATGCTCAACATCACTCATCAATCATCAGGGAAATGCAAATCAAAACTACAACGAGATATTACCTCACACCTGTCAAATAGCTAAAATCAAAACCACAAGAAACAAGTGTGGGCAAGGATGTGGAGAAAGGGGAACCCTCTTACACTGTTGGTGGGAATGCAAACTGGTGCAGGCACTCTGGAAAACAGTATGGAGGTTCCTCAAAAAGTTAAAAATAGAACTACCCTATGACCCAGCAATTTCAGTACTAGGTATTTACTCAAAGGATACAAAAATACAGATTTGAAGGGACACATGCACTCTGATGTTTATAGCAGCATTATCAACAGTAGCCAAATTATGGAAAGAGCCCAAATGTCTATTGACTGATGAATGGATAAAGAAGACGTGGTATACATATAATATTACTCAACCATCAGAAAGAATGAAATCTTGCCATTTGCAATGACGTGAATGGAACTAGAGAGTATTACGCTAAGCGAAATAAGTCAGAGAAAGACAAATACCCTATGATTTCACTCATATGTGGACTTTAAGAAACAAAACAGATGAACATATGGGAAGGAAAAAAAAAAGAGAGAAGGAAGCAAATCATAAGAGACTCTTAATGATATAGAACAAACTGAGGGTTGATGGAGGGAGGTGGGTGGGGGATGGACTAAATGGGTGATGGGTATTAAGGGGGGCACTTGTGATGAGTATTGGGTGTTATATGTAAGTGATGAATCACTAAATTCTATACCTGAAACCAATTTTACCATATATATTAACTAACTAGAATTTAAAAAATTGAAAAGGAAAAAAGAAAAAATAATATACTAATACTAAGTAAAAAGTAAGAAGTCAGAACTTCTGCTAAAATCCATCTATCAATGATATCAAAGATAACAAACAGTCCTTTTCTGAATACAGTTTCAAAGCAGCTACATTCCATTGCTCTTTTAGTAAAGAATCATTATCCAATTAGAGTTGGATACAGAAGTTGGTTCCTGGAAACTATTCACATTAACATCAAAGAGAACCCATGACTTGCTAAAAAATGTCTGGCAAGTCAAAACATTTCAACTCTTCCCAACTCCTCCCCCACCCATGTATATTCAGGTATAGAATTTGGGAAATATAAACCAAAGAACATTAATGAAAAACCAAAAATCATCCAGAATCCTCCACCCAAACATAATGACTACTTAATATTTGGTATATTTCCTTCTAGTTTTTATAATTGTAAAAATTAGGATCACTCTCTTTATTCAGCTTTGTATCTTCATGTTTTTCACTTAATATTAAAAACACTTTTCCATGTTGCGAAATAGTTTTCAAAAACATGACTTCTAATGATGGTGTAGTATTTCATGGATGATACACCATACTCATTATAACCATTTCCCCACTGTCAAACATTTCCAATATAATAAATAATGTTGTGATAAATTAATGTCTAAATCAATTTAAAAAAAAAGGAAAACAGAACTACCCTACAATCCTGTAATTGTTCTACTGGAAATTTACCCAACGAATACAAAAACACTAATTTGAAAGAATATACGCACCATTATGTTTATAGCAGCATTATCTACAATAGCCAAATTATGGAAGCAGCCCAAGTGTCCACTGGTAGATGAATGGATAAAGAAGATGG